CAGAACCAAATAATCCTCCTGTTCCCTTCGCTTCAGGCTCACCTGTCCCAGGCCAGAGGGAGTTCCTTTGGGCCATGCCAGGTGTCAGTCTACTCTGGGCCCTGTATTTAGCACATCATCCTTGCTCCTCTTATTCACCCCCCATTAGAAGTAAAGCCCACACCTTCAGAAATTCCATAGTGATGCACCTGCATTCTCAGAAGCTGCTGTGGCAGAGGTAAGAGATGGACAAAAGGTATACTTGCATGCTTTCTTGGCACATCGGCAGGGATGTAGAATGAGGAAAAGCCTACCAAAGCCAAGGTAAAGTCCATGGTTCTGGATGGAGCTCTTCCAAGTCTTGCTAGACCTGATGTTCTCTTACCTCTGTCTTTAGGTCTGCTGTCCTTCACTGCCTCTCAGTTCTGGGTCTCCCCCTAATAGCCCCCTCTCCACTCACTTGAACTTTCCCTTCCCCAGTTTTCTTTGATGGGACACTTCTGTATCTATACAACATCTTCCCTATGCCCAACACTGAGCTGTGTACTGCACATGAAGAGGTAACTGTAACTTGTTGCTCTCCTGGGAGGATGAAAATTCTAGAAACAAACACATGCATGCAGCGTGATGACTTGCCCCATGTGAGGTCCAGTCTAGCAAGGTACAAAGAATGTCCAAAGAGAGAGTGGTCAGCACTGCATGGGAGTGTCAATAAAGATTTCAGGACAGTGTGGAAGGAAGGATAGGACTCTTCCAGGTGATTACAGAGGAGAAGGACCCTGAGTGAGAGGGGCTGATAAATGCAAAGCAAAGCTATGAAACTGTATTTAATATTCCCAGGATTATAAGATATTGAGTACCAAACATCAGAGCATTATTTTCTGATGGATAAAAACATGACTCATAGAAATATAGAGAGAATGTATGCCAAAGATTTATTTATTAGTGAGGAGAGGAGTAAAGCTAGTTTGCAGAGCATTTGAAGAACAGAAATTTATATAGGCAGGAAAGGAATGATGGAATTAGTTTCCAAGTTGGATGCAAAAATATAAGAAAGGAAAACCATAACCTTTGGGATTATCTTTTTCATCAGACAGAGATTCCCAAGGATAATAACAATAACCTTTGGGGTAATCTTTTTAGCTGAAAAGAAATAATTTGTATGTCTGCCAGACAAAATCACTTGCAATTTATTTTTTTAAATATTTTATGTATTTTTTAGACTGAGGGGAAGGGAGGGAAAAAGGGGTGGAGAGAAACATCAATGTGTGGTTGCCTCTTGCGTGCCCCCTACCAAGGACCTGGCCTGCAACTCATGTGCCCTGACGGAATCAAACATGTGACCCTTTTGTTCAGAGTCAGGTGCTCAATCCACTGAGCCACACCAGCCAGGATTCACTTGCAGTTTATTAAATTCCTATGAGCACTAACTTTGCAGTGTTTAGGTCCCAAGCAAACAAAGGAACATTCCCCAGAAAGTGAGAGAATTAGGCGGGCAACTAGGCAATACTTCAGAGTGATAGCCATCTTCTTGCCTCACTGAAAAGTTTCGGGAGAATTTTCTGCTCAATACAAAGGATGGATTAGAAGCCAGGATGAGGGTGGTGGAGTGGGAGATGAAGACAGCTCAATAGGACAGGGGCCAGGTCATGGAAGGCTCTGGAGTTTAGGTTCTCTCCTGGAGGAACATAGAGCCACTGAGTAATTTTTAAGATGCATACAATGCTGACTTTGGAACTATTCTGACATACCCCTCAGAATGGACTAGAAGGGTGCCAGATTATCTGGAGCACAGGTGAGAGGTTAGCAGGACCTGAATTAAAGTGGTATTGGTGAGTGAAGAACATGTCCAGTGGCGGTTTATTTTGCTATTTTGATATCGAAGACAGTAAGTTTCTTCCTAAATAATAATGTTCACTTATTCACCTATTTTATGAAAAACTACTGTAGCAACAGCCATCCTCACCCATTTCTCACTTCCCCCATCCTACTGTGGAGCTGCATTTATATCTATCACGGTTTTGAAAGTTGCCTACCCTCATCATTAACCTTCTTTTACAAACTTTCTTTGATCTCCAGCTAAATTAATGTTTCTTAACTTTGATCAGGTAATATTTCTAATCACTTTCCTCAAGCATATCATACAGATCTTAATTAGGATAATTAGTGCAGAGGAGTCAAAGGAAGCAATGTTTCCATGGTACTCAAAGCTACAGGAAGGCAGAGCTCTCGCCTCTTTCCTTTCTATACCAAGTCCACACTCAGATCCTGGCATACAGTAGGCACTCAAATAACTGTAGAATAAATGAAAGATGAAGAGACAGAATCTTCCAGATGTCCACAAAATATTTAAAGATGATCATGGTAAAGAGAAATGACCCTCAGAGGGAGAAACTAAGATCACATAATTTATAATAGAGACATGTTTCAATTCAAAGGAAGGGACTTTTTCTTACATGTGTAAAAAATTAGAGACAGCTGCCCTGGCTGGTGTGGCTCAGTTGGTTGAAGCATCTGTCCTGTAAACTGAGGGATTTCGGGTTCAATTCCCAGTCAGGGCACATACCTAGGTTGCAGGTTCTATCTCCAATTGGGGTGTATATGGGAGGCAATTGATGTTTCTTTCCCTCTCTCTCTCTCCCTTTCCCTTTCTCAAAAGTCAATGAGCATGTCCTCAAGTGAGGGTGAAAAATAAAAATAAAATTGAAGACAGCTGTTTCTGAGTCTATAAATTCCCTCCTATGGCAGCAACCTAATATTTGAACAGAAACAAAGACCCCCTTTTTTAATGGAGTGAAATAAAAGATAGAAAGCTCTCATTCTCTTTCTGTTCAATCAAAATGCCTTTATGATAAATGGTGTCTTTATTTGTGGTTAAGGGGTTTTGATAGGGAATTGCCTCTACCTAGTCCCTGAAATTTTCTTTTAACATATTTATTTTTTCTTTTTAAATTTAATTTAAATTTAATTGTATTTTAAATACATATTTATAGAGCACCTGTTATGCGTTGGGTTGGCCCAAAAGTCTGTTCAGTTTCTTCTGTAAAATACAAGACACATTTTTTTATTTTCACCAATAATTTTATTGATTTAGATATTTTGAATATGTTGTCCATCTCCCGCATGGTAGAAAATTGCTTGTTCTCAATTATCATCTCGATTTGATCTCTATCAACTTCAACTGGTCTACCTGACTGTGGAGCATCTTCCAGTGAGAAATCTCCAGCATGAAACTTTGCAAACCACTTTTGATACATATGATCAGTCACAGCACCTTCTTCATACACTGCACAAATCTGCTTTTTTGCATTTTGGCTGCATTTTTACTTTTCTTGAGATAATAAAGCACAATATGCCAAAAATGTTGTATATTTCATTCCATCTTCAATATTAAATGGCTGCACAAAAATTCACCAATTTTGATAAGGTTTTTTAAATGCACACTGATGACAGCTGTCACAATATGATCTAACAAAATTGTTTTGAGTGAAGTTAAAGACAACTAAGCACTACTAGAGCCATCGTACAGAAAAAAAAACAAATGAAATTTTTGGTCAACCCAGTGCCAGGTACTGTGCTAAATGCTTGGCATAGAAAATGAAAATGAAATAGAAAAGGTATAGTTCTCCCATCTGAAGAAATTTAAAGAACTATAATGCAAACATTCAGGACACAATGAGAATGAATGATGGGGGAGCCTGATTGGTCTTTGGCATGGAGGTTCATCATGGTCATTACAATGGCACAGGGCTAAATCGGGACAGCAATGAATTACCTGCAAAATCATTTCCCAATAACCTTCTCTGAGTCAAACTTGAGACAGAGAATGGTCTATTTCAAGATACTGGTAAATGACATGAAGGCAAACAAAGCACAACATTAGCTCTTTTCTCTCTCTCCCCTCACCCCTTGAGTGCATGTTCCTAAACTCCAAGGGCCCTTCTTTTGCTTCTGCAACTTGTTTCCTAAGTCTATGTCATATACTGCTCACTTTTACTACCTCCATAACTTTTTAAATAAACTTTTTAAAATTATGTAAAGTTTTTCTTTATATCTGTGGAAATGTGATATTTTTTTCTCTAGTCCTCTACCTACTTTTTCTTTTCTTTTTTTATTGTTGCTCAAGTACAGTTGTCTCCATTTTGACCCTACCACGGTCCCCTATGCCCCACCTCTCCCTGCCTCCCACCCTCAAACTCACCCCCTTTGGCTTTGCCCATGTGTCTTTTATATGTTACTTGATGGACCTTCCTCTATATTCCCCCATTATCCCTCTCCACTCTCCCCTCTAGTTACCGTCTGTTTGTTCTTTATTTCAATGTTTCTGGTTATATTTTGCTTGTTTGCTTGCTTGTTTTGTTGATTGTACCTTTCATGACAGCATGGATGGAACTGGAGAGCATTATGCTAAGTGAAATAAGCCAGGTGGTGAAAGAAAAATAGCATATGATCTCACCTATAAGTGGAACCTAATTAACAAAACAAACAAGAAAGCTAAATAAACTTTCTTTTAGAAAAAAATCAAATTCTGCAACTGCCAGTGATTCCCCCATCCTCTACATTTATTTCCCTGGGACCCAAAGAAACCACAGCTACCAGGCAGAAAGGAGATGCTGAGGAGGCTGATTGTCCTTTTACAGGAATTACAAAGAAGTGGACTAGCCAGGAGCCAGGGATAATGCAAAGGAGACCCCTGAATGGTGTGGGACATTCATTTTAAAGAGAAAGTATTCCAGGTAGTAGTAGTGGAAGCATGGTAGGGAAGGTACTATTGATGAGATTTTCATCAAATAAAGAAAACAAAACTCTTAGATAAAACATAAAACTTAATGAGTGAGGGAGTTTGAAATGGATGGCACATTCCTGTTTTGTTAGTTTCAACATTATTCTTGCCTCTTTCCAGGCAATTCCCATAAATGTATATGGAAACAGGGAATCAAACAGCTACTTCAAAATTAATCCTTCTGAGACTTTCAGAAGATATGGACCTGTAGGCCCTCTTCTTTGGGTTGTTCCTTTACATGTACCTAGTCTGTGTTACAGGAAACCTGCTCATCATCCTGGCCATCATCTCTGACTCCCACCTCCACATGCCCATGTACTTCTTTCTCTCCAACCTGTCTTTTGTCGACATCTGTTTCACCTCCACCACCATCCTGAAGATGCTGGTGAACATCCAGACACAGAGCCAAGATATCACCTTTGAAGGCTGCCTTACCCAAATGTATTTCTTCGTGATTTTTGCTGGGCTAGATAATTTGCTACTGACCATCATGGCCTATGACTGGTTTGTGGCCGTCTGTCACCCCCTGTACTACTCAGTCATCATGAACCCTTGCCTTTGTAGTCTCCTGCTTCTGCTTCCTTGGTTAATCTGCCTGACATATTCTTTGCTGCAAAGTTTGATGGTATTGAGGGTGTCCTTTTGTAAAGAGACAGAAATCCCCCACTTCTTTTGTGAACTTGTTCAGATCCTCAAGCTTGTTGTTACCCTTGACAACAACATCCTACAGTATTTTGTAATGGGTCTGCTGGGTGTTATTCCCCTGGCTGGGATTCTCCTTTCTTATTCTAGAATTAGGTCCTCATTAATGGGCATTTCATCTGTTGGAGGTAAGTATAAATTATTTTCCACCTATGGGTCTCACCTCTCTGTTGTCTCTTTGTTCTGTGGTGCTGGCCTTGGGGCCTACCTCACTTCTGGAACAGCCCATCCCTCCAGAAAGAGTTCAATAGCCTCAGTGATGTACACAGTAGTTGCCCCCATGCCGAACCCCTTCAATCTACAGTCTGAGGAACAGGAACATGAAAGAGGCTCTGAGGAGACTTTTCAGCAGAGGAGCTCACTCTTGGTGAGGTCATGCAAGTTAAGGCAACAGAGATCCAAAGTGCTGATAACTAGTGTTCCTGAATATGTAGTCCAAAGACAGAGAAGAAATGCTATTCATGATATACTAGAAGACATTGGTGAACCAATGACAAACTGGAAGGAGGACACCCAAAAGCCCACCATTTACCAAGGAAAAAGAATGACTCACCAATAACTAAACTTGTGAAAATAAACTATTTTAAAAATGCAGACTCCTGCAAGCATCAAGAGAGGAGAAAACAAGTCAAGGAATGCAGTGGGGGAGAAGAGGAAAACAGTGACAACAAATGTGTAGACAGTATTGACTCATCTTTATCCCCAGGTTATGTTCTAGCTAGAACAAAGCACCATGGACCATGTCTTCCCTGGTCTGTCTGGAACTGCTATCTCGGCTGTCATACTGACCTCCTTGACCCCATAAAATTTTACTTACTGTATCATGCCTTGGTAGTGGCAACTGACTTATTCTTCAGACTTTAATAAGAAGCTTCTTTGTAGTGTCTACTTTAAGAGAGAAAAAACTCTGAACTTTGTTGATCCCTATTCACCAGCAGATCTGAAACAAGAGTCCAAAGCAATCCACTCTCTGTCTTCCTGGCCTGGTTCATATTTCACCAGATCTTGACATGCCTGTCTTCTCACAGGCTAGGCTTCAAGTCAAAACTGTCAGCTCTTCAGAGGCCCACCCTGGCCACCACCCCCTACTCATTCCAGTTTTCACAGCACTTACCATATTTTGAGGGGCAACAGAGCACAGTGGCCAAGAGGGCTCTGGGTTCAGATATTTTCATCACTCACTAATCTTGCCCACAGTTACTTCTCTGAGCCTCCATACCCTCATCCATAATAATAAGGATGACAATACATTTCCTAAACAGTTCTGGGGGGAGATTAAATGTCACACATGAGGGCGCCCAGGACAGTGTCTGATTCAATAATTGTTAGCCACCACAAGATCCAGGAGGGCCACCAAGGTCTCTGTTGACCACACAAACGTAAAGGGATTGTGAACAATCAGTAGAGTCCAGAAGAGAACTTCCCTGGGCCCAGAGACTAAGGATTGGACCCAGAAAGGACCCCAGACATGGACTCCCTACAACAGGGAACTGGGAAAACAAAGCATCCTTTATACTGGTTCAGGCCCATGGGGAGAATCTCTTAAACTATGAGCAAAAATTAAAAACTTACTTAAAAAATCTGTCCTGGGTTGTCTGGATGACTGTGGAACCCTCTTGGTGATCACTGGATTCAGACTAGGCAGATTCTGATATTTGAATCCTCCCTTAACCATTAGCATAATGACCATCTCTAAGCAGCCTCCAATTCTTTATGTGTAAATAGTTGTCGGGGTAAAAACAGAAAATTAGTGTTAAGTGTCTAATATACAAAACATAGTGGGCATCATATTATGAACACAGCATTTAATTATTTGTGCCCCCACCTTGTGCCAGACAGAGGCAGATCAGGATGCTGGAACCCAGAAAGCCCTGCCCAGCCTCATTCTCCAGCAGATGTCTGAGGGCAAGGCAGGTACAAGCTGATTGCTTCTGGGAAAAACAAATCACTTTATTCAGTGCAATATGGTCTTCCTACCAACCATTCTACAGTGTACCTGGCCCCAGTGACCTGGGCAGATCAGATGAAGCCAAGAGAGTAAGACCATACTAATGAGCCTAGAGCACTGCCTGATTTGTCCTCCATCTTTCAATTCGTCCCTGGTACAGAAAATTAATTACTTTATCAATTTTTTACCTGGATATTATTATCATTTGAGGCTGGATAATTCTTTATGGTGGGGTTATCCTATGCATCATAGAAAATGTAGCAGCATCTGTGGCCTTTACACTATAGACCACAGCTTCCCCCACCCTCTTGCCTCAGTCATTCATATGCTAAAACGTGTGCAGACATTGCTGATGTCCCTAAGGGGCACAATCACTTCTGGATGGTAACCACCAGTCTACCATGACTCAGCAGAACCAAGGAAAGGAAAACGAAGTGAGGGGAAGACCCTGGTTTCCCTGAGGCCCAGAACAGACTGGAACTAAGCTACCAGTCTCTAGTCAAGACTCTCCTTGCATGGAGGAAGCCTCAGGTCTGCAACAGAAGCATCAGTGCCATTTGCTGAATAACCAGATGAACAAATTTTAGTGCCCCAAAACTCCAGAGGACAAGACCCTTGCTGGTTCACTGCCTGGGGAATGATTGGGATTCCAAAAGAATATGAGGGAACTTTGGGACTTCACCAACTTGGTTGTGGTGATGGCTTTACAAGTGTACACGGAAGTCAAAGCTAATCAAACTGCGTATTTTAAGAGTATAACTTTATCGCATGTCAATTTCATCTATATAAAGTTATTCCCTCTCCACTGGACACTTGCAATACAAACACCGGCCCTGCGGCAACCGCAAACAGCCATTCCTTCACTTTGCCGTTCCTTCACTTGCCTGTGCCCCCACCCTTCTGAGTACCTGCCCACTCCGGGCTTACTCATGAGTTGCACTGGGCAGTGGAGTGCAAGGCACACCTGACATGAGCAGAACTGGACAAACACTCGCACAGTAGAGCCTGTGCTCTTCTGAACCTTCCTGCGGCATGTATCCAGGACTCTCTGGACAGTTGTTGGGCACAACCTGAGTGAGCAGCAAATAACCGCCACGCCAAACCAGCAGCCAATGGCGGACACGAGTGAGCCCAGCTAAGCACAGCCCAAACTGTCAACCAACAGAATTGTAAAGTAAATAAACCCTGGTTGCATCAAACCACTGTGTTTTGGGTAGGTCGCTATGCAGCAAATATAAATGGGGCCCCTTTATTCCAATCTAGTGTGGGGCACAGGTTAACTTGCTCAGCTGCAAAGCTCATCAAATGTCAATGGATTTCCATCAACTTCAATTAACATTTATTTTTTTAAATATAAACAATGACTTTTATTTATGACATGAATCACACTGTAAAGAAAATAAAGGGAAAAAAATTTTAAAAAGTCATAGAGGTGGAAGAAAACAAGTTCTAGTGGGACAGAAAGCACAGGTTCAATAAGTGGCCCTACGTGTAGCCCTGAGACACACTCCAGAGTCAGCCTCTCCAGCAGGGAGGCGCGGGTTCTCCAGGCAGGGTCACTGCTCTTATCTGAGGAGATGCTCAGGGCAGGGGACAGGCAGTGACCTCACTTCCAGACAACAGGGCTGCACAGAACTTGGAACCCTGGTAACCAGGCAGCCACATTCTGAAACTGCCCCTCCCCGGTGCACGTAGGTAGAGGTATTTCAGCCAGCAGGATGTTTCTTGTTGTCTGCCTATATCCTGAGGCCAAGGCCTCAAAAGAAGGAGCAGTGACAGCATGTTCTGCCATGGCGGCCCATGTCCCCTGGGTCCAGACTCAACCTAGATACCTGTGGCCCTTTTCAAGCGGAACCCAGACGTAACACATGGGAAAGCCCAGGGAAGTTTTGTTTGGGACAGGCCAACACTCTGATCCCACCTGAGCAGTCCCTATGTTACCTACTTGTGCGTGTGTGTAAGGGGATTCATGTGAACAGGCCCTTCCCTCAGTAGGAATGGACAGAGGAGGGTGAGAAGCCTGGTGGGCCAGTCATTCCACCCCAGGTCAAGGCTGCCCGGGTGGACATGGAGTATGGGTGGCAGCCCCTGCCCGAGGTTCATCCCAAGCCCAGGAGGTGAATCTCATTTCCCCTGGGCAGAGGTCTGTGCAGACACAGGTCTGGGCCTGATCATGGAGCAGAAGGTACAGGGGGCAGAAGCAGCAGCAACTAGGGCCCAGCAGGGATTTAGGCCTTGGGACTGGCTGTCAGTCACTGTCATTACAGAGCTCAGCCCAGGTCCTGGAGGAGCAACAGGTGGTTGACAAAGACCCTGGCCCTGTCTCCACCACTGAGGGGCAGGTGTGCCACACCAGTGAGGGCCAGAGAAAGCCTGTTGTGACAGTAGCCACACAGGGTTCTGGGGGTCTGGTACCCATGGATGGCCAAAAAAAAAAAGACTTTTCCTGAAGCCATCCAGGCTCCACAGGCAGCTCAAGATTTCAGAATCCATCTTGGAGCATAGTGGCCACCTTACTGCAAGTGGCCAAATGATGTGGAGGCCAAGGGCGAGAGGGTGGAAGAGGGGGCTGTGAATTGGAGGTACAAGCAAGCATGTGGGGAGGGGTGGTGCCAGACACACAGGAAGCCTCCACAGAGGGTGCCCAGGGGCAAAGCCCAGCCTCACACCACCATCTGCTGGTCTGTCCTTGGGAAGGACATCCTGCAGTGGGTCCTGGGCTGTGGCTTCTCTGGAAGGCTCTGGCTGTGTTTTATCTGTGGGGGGACATGGAAATCCAGGCCCGTGAGTGATTTTTCTTGCAACTCCAGTAGGGGCTCAGGAGGCAAAGCCTGCTTTTGCTTCAGCACTTGTCCTACATCTGGAAGAGCTGGATGCAGGGTCAGACCAGGAGAGGTGCCCATCTCCAGTGGTTGTGCCACCTCCAGCAGCTGCTACAGCTCCAGTGCTGGTGCCCAAGCCGGGCTGTGCAGCATCTGCTGATCTGACTGAGGCCCCACCCTACCTGCCCTGGTTCCCATCACAGGGGAGGAGCTGTCCCTACAAAATGCACCAGGGCCAACTCTAGAGCTGTGTGTTATTCAACCAGCCCTCCTACACCCACCAGAAGTTGTTTTGCCACCCGTTTCACCTTTTCCTTTTATATTGTAATACTTCCCCTTTCTCTACGGCATGATTAAGTATTAAATATCGTTCATATTGTAAATTGGGTTATCTCTGAGCATGATGGGCATTCACAACACTGTGCAGCATCACCACTGTCTAGCTGCTGGATGTTCCATCCCCAGAAAGGAAACCCTGTACTAAAAATGCTCACTCCCCACTCCTCCTGCCCCTGGCAACCCCTGATGAGCTGTCTCTCTCTTTTTAACTTATTTGGGACATTTCCCTAAGTGGGATCTTACAATAGGTGTCTCCTTCTGTTTGCTCACATATTTTTGTTATTTAAGAGGGGAATCCCAGAGGCATCAGAGATGATATAGAGAAAAAGAAGCCCTTTTGGTAAGTTTGTATGTAATCTCAGGGTAGAGACTGCTGTGCTAAGTGTGAGGTGAGGGCCAGAAGCAAAATAGGCAATGGCTGGCTCATCCTGTGCCCAGATGAAATGAAAGAATGCAGAAATCTGGGAGGACAAACCACAAGCTGGACAGCATTCCTCACAACACAAGGCCAGAGGGAAGCGTCACATGCCTGCAGTGCAGCAAACTCTTGCAAGTCTGTTTTCTAAAGGGACAGAGGCGAGCACATGCACTTCCAGCATGAGGCAGTGCACACGTCTCTGCATGTCAGAGATGCCCAACCTCCCAGATGGGGACACACCCACTGTCACCACTGGAGACAGAGCACTGTCTCCCTCAGACTGGCAGGATTCTGTCCTGGTGGCTACCAGCCCTGGAAACACAGTGAGGTAGCAGAGGCCCCAGCTTATCCCCTGCAGAGAAGGGGGAAAGGCCCTCCCCTTGGGAGAACAGTGTGCAGGACCTGTCCCAGTTCCACAGATGCACAACTTCACTTGGTATTGTTCATCCAAGAGGTCCCCCCACAGCAAGTCTTGCACAATTTTTCAAAGGTATATTTTCAAGGTCTCCCATCAGAGCACTGATGAAACTGCCAGGAACTGGGAAGAGCACTAATGTCTACTGAGGGAGGATGGGATCCACTAATCCTGGTCCACGTGGACGAGGGAAGCTGAGCGGCTGCTAATGTGGATGCAGAGGTCTCTGCATGCCAACAGATGAAGACCTCAGGAGTCTTCTCCGGTGAGACATGTGGACCAGTGGTGTGCATCCAGGGTCCTACCTGTTAGATTACATGCATGTAATTTCCTCAGGCAGACACACATGTGACAATTATTCTTCCTGAATAGCTGCTTTTGGGTACTTTTTTTCTCAAACATCAATAGTTCTTCTCCATCCTCCAAACTGTAGTTCTCAGGCTTAGAAACTGGAAACCACAGAGAGACCAGGTTCCTATAGTTTTCCAGCATCACACACATCCTTTGTGCAGGATCCAGCCCACTCCTCTGGGGTGGAGTCCATGGCCACATGCTTGAATATCACGGATGCCTGGGATTTGGCTGTGAGGCACAGAACTGCCACTTCTCCCTTTTCTGTGCTCATCTCTTGGGAAAAGGAAGAATCCTGGGAAGACATAGCTCTCTTCTTAGGCATTTTGGCCCAGTCTCTCTCCATGATCACCAATCTTCCTGGTTCCAAAGATCCTAATCTCCCTACCCCTTCAGTTCAGACCTCTGGACAGGGCGCCTCCTGGCCCTCCTTCCTGCCTTCCCTCTGGGGGATCTAGGGAAAGGCCTGGATCAGGTCGGGTCCGGTTTCTTCCTCAGTCCTATGAGGGTGGCACCTGGAAGCCTGGGGCCGGCATCCCTGACACTGGATCCTCAGATGCCTGCTCCTGCAGCTTGGAGCTGTACCTCCCATCCAGGCTTGACAAAGGCTATGAACTTCTTGGGCCAGCTTGGAGCCCCAATTAACATTTAAATTGAGACTGTTATGTAAAATATTAATGTATGTCTGTGTGTGTTATATAACCTATCTCATTTACCCCTCCAGCTTTACCTCATACTTCTAAGACTGTCCTTTTACCTGTCAAAGAATGTGATGCATTTTGTCTGTGCCTTACACACAGGACTGGCATGCTCATTCAACATTACATATAAGCCTTCTACACTTAGCTTGCATCACCTTTTCCACACAGCTTTCCTTGACAGCTCCAAGTTCAACAACCTATCCTGGAGACTTCCTGAATGAATTAACTGTTTCTCCTCCTTGACCTTTACTCCTTTAAGGACAGTACCATGTCTTATTGTTTTTCTTCCCAAAGCCTAATTCCATGCAAGGCACTTAGCTGACAGTCACTAATTCTCTAGAGAGGAAAAAATCCTGAGTGAATTGGCATTATTCAGACACTACACAACACAGAGCTGCTTACTGCTGAGAGGCCCCAAGAATTGAAAGCCATAGTGAGACAAGACTAGGTAAGAGTATAATTAGAAGTTCCCTCCAGAGAGATTGTGTAAGATATATCTGTGCCAAAAACTGGCAAGGAAGTGCAATAAGATTCAAGAGCAATGGAACACTTACATGGAGCTGGGAATTCACTTTCCTTCTGTGCTAATTAATGTGACAGAGGGACTGGGCACAGAGGGCATAATCACACTGGATTGCAAGGCTCCTAATTAAGAAATACCAACTTTGACTCAGTGCTGAGAGGCATGCTCTCCTCCCCGTAGGCCTGGCCTCTAGGGCATACACAGTTATTTTTTTCCACACTAGACAAGAGCCAAGCAATGAATGCTATTCCTTCACTAATGAGCCTGGGAAAAGTATGGACCAAGGCCTGTGGAAGACTCAGCACCCTTCAAGGATGTAAAAGTGACCACTCACCCAAACACCTGCACAGCAGCATTCCGAGTGTGAAGGAAGGGTGGAGGTGTCAGGAAGGCTAATGACAGACAGAAGCCCAGTGGCCATACGCCCCTCCCATCAGGCCCCATCAGCCCAACTGACTCATCCTTTGGTGTAGGCAGGAAAGGCAGAGCCGTCTGAACTGTCAGCACTGACAAAGGGTCAGATCAGAGTTGATAAGCTGATTCTTCTCACCTGTGTCTTGCACAGGCTAATGACTACCTTACTGTGGTGTGTGGAAGACTGTCATTAACCTATCAGGAAAATATTTAAATCTACCTTGTGTGAGGCAGAAAAACTAGTTTTTAAAAAATAATGATAAATATTAAGTCAGAGCAATTGTTCAGGGTGTGAGTCTGAAACCTGTCTTTGGATTTATTTATTTAGATTCCCAAGGTGCATTTGGGTAGGTCTGAAAAAACAATCAGCTTTTATTCTGAATTTAGAAAAGTAGCACTGGGCTAAAAACATATAACTTGTGTTCCAGGTGTTGCTTACACTAAAGGGTGAGAATAATTTTCTAGGTCTTCTGTATAGTGGGAATACAATGAAAAGAACTGCTAATCTTAGCCCTTATACAAGGAGTCTGTAGAGGGACCCAAAGAAAACAGGGGAGACAAAAACAAGGACACTAGAGAAAGCTTTAGCCTCTGACCCAATAGCTACAGCAACCAGTAATAGACTAACTTCTAGCTAGGAAAAAATAAAAATATACCACTAAAGGCCTATCTATCTACTGCCGTTCCTTTTTTTTCACACATTTTGACAAACTTTCAACAAAAAAAAAACTGCAAGACATGTTAAAAGGCAAGAAGAAAACATCTAAAATGAGAAAGCAAGTATCAGAAACAGAGTGGGATATAACAGAGATTTGGGGATACTCAGATGGGGAATTTAAAATAACTATGATCAATGTTAAGGATTCTAATGGAAAAAGTGAACATACAAAAACAAAAGGGTAAATGTAAGCAAGCAAAGGAAATGCTGGAGATTGAAAAAGAAAATGCAAGGAGGAAAAAAAAACAGAGTATCTGAGAACTGTGGGACAATTACAAAAGGTGTAACATGTAATGGGAGTGCTAGGAAAAGAATGAGAGAAAGAACCAGAATATTTGAAGTAATGATGAGAATTTTCCAAAGTGAATGAATGAACGGCAGACACCAAACCACGATCCAGGGAGTTAAGAGATCATCAAGCAGGATCAATACCAAAGAAAATCTACATCAAGGCATATTATGTTTAATTTGCAGAAAAATCAATATACAATACACCTAACAAAAACCAAAAAAAGCCTAACTGGGTAACTAGGTAACTTCTGCACAAAAGGAGAAACACAAACTTCAATTAGATTCTTAAAGAAATAATGATTATAAAGATATATATATTAGAATCTGCGGAATGCATTTTAAAGCAGAGATCAGAGGAAAATTCACGGCACAAAACACTTGTCAATAAAATTAATGATTAGGGAGAAATTAATTACCAGTTAAGAAAAAATGGAAAAGCAAAATAAAACAAAAGAAAGCATAAAGAAAAATGGAGATAACAGCAGAAATTAATGGGGAAGGTGCTCGGCACTCAGAAACATGGCAGGAGCCACCTGCCAGACCGTGCCTCTGTCACCCACCATGGGCACCTCCCTCCATGCAGGTCCCCAGACCCACACCAATCATGCTATTTACATCAACAACTTCAAGAAGGATGAGCTGAAGAAGTCTCTATATGCCATTTTCTCCCAGTTTGGCCAGATCCTGCATATCCTGGTGTCACGGAGCTGAAGATGAGGGTCATGCCTTTGTCACTTTCAAGGAGGTCAGCAGCGCCACCAAAGCCCCATGCTCCATGCAGGGCTTCCCCTTCTATGACAAGCCCATGCACACCCAGTATACCAAGACCAACAGTATACTCATCATTGCCAAGATGAAAGGTACCTTCGTGAAGCAGGATGGTAAACAGGAGAAGAGGGAAACCAAGAGACCCTGACTGCTAAGAAGGTTGTGCAGGGTGGGACAGTTGCCCTCCTAGTAGGGCCTGTCCCCAGGGCCTGTCCCAGGCATGCGGCCAATGACTCGGGCTCCCTGCACCATGCACCACATGTTGGATCAGCCTCCCTACATGCCATGCCCTGGCATGATCCTACCTCCAGGCCTCAAACCCCAGCAGACCCCACCAGGGTCCATGCCCCCACAGCAGCTTATGCCGGGCCAGATGCTGCCTACCAGCCTCTTTTAGAAAACCTACAGGATCACATCTTGTTCCTCCCCCACCTGCCAGGAGACTAATGAGCTCACGCTGTCCACGTTTTTCAACCAGTTCCCTGGCTTCAAGGAGGTCAGGTTGGTCCCAGGGTGGTATGACATGGCCTTCATGGAGTGGGGACTGGCCACAGGGCTTCAAGATTACCCAGAACAACCCTATGAAGATCTCCTTTGCCAAGAAGTAGTGCCTTTTCCCCCTGCCTGCCCCCATTCCATTGCAGGACCCCTCTTTTCCCCTTGGCTTAGCTCCCTGAAGGTAAATTCCCTGGGGCAGGGGCACCACTTCTTGGAGCCACATGTGAGTGGTCACACAGCACTGTACCTAATCTGTCCGCAGCTATTGTACCTGGCACTGTTAGGCTGGAATTAAAGTTTGGTTTTGAAGTTGGTTTGTTTTTTTATGTTTTGAAAAAAATAATGAGGAAAACAGAACAGATCTAACTAGTCAAAATTCCATTAAAAACAACAACAAACCACTAGTTCATTTGATTCAGGAAAAGAAAAATATACAAAAAAAAATAGGTGTTGACCATTGAATCAGAAAGCATTTTTAAAATCGTGAGATGATTTTAAAATCATCTTTGACCTCTACACTAGATGAATTGGACAATTTCCTAGGAAAATAGATTACCAACACTAATGCCATTCAAGTAAGAAAACTTAACACAGAGCAATGTCCTTAAAAGAAATAAAAATTCCTAAAGAAATATCCCATTAAAAAACCACTTGACCCAGACGGTTTTACAGGAAGTTCTACCAAATCTTCCAAAACCAGAGTACTAATGCTGTATAAATTATTCCAGAGCATTGAAAAGGAAATTAAGAAATCCTAATTTCTCTTATGATGCAAATATAATACCTAAACCAGATAAAGAAAGTATAGAGAAAACTACAGACCAATTATTACTCATGCATACCATGCAAAATTCAAACAAAATACTAGCAGATTCTAAAACCACATTAATAATACACCATGACCAAGTGAAATTCATTCAAAATGCAAGACTTTTTTTATTGTTGATGCTATTACAGATGTCCCACATGTCATTCCCCTTTTGCCCCCCTCCACCCAGCTCCTGCCCCCACCATAGCCTTCACCACATTGTTGTCTGTGTCCATGGCTATGCATATATGCATATATGCTCTTTGGCTAATCTCTTAAGTCATATATTACTACATCAAGAGACAAAGAATCATGATCTTCATAGATGCTCAGAAAAACTGACAAAATTCAAAACCCATTCACGGTAAAAACTTTCAAGAATATAAAATACCTTCACAATATGATAAAATAAACATTTACCTTAGTTCTAAAAAACATTGTCTTAATTAACAGAAAAACAATAGGGGCCTTAACCCTAGGACAAGGCCAGAATACCCACTATTAATCACTGCTACTATTTATTACTGTACTAGAGGTACTAGCCAACGCAATTAGACAACCAAAAGTAATTACAGGCTTAAAAATTGGTAAACAATTTCCAGATTATACAATAGTATGCCTGGAAAACCCCAGAAAAGCAGTAATAAAACTTAAAAAGTAAAAGAATTCAGTAAAATAACAAGTTATAAAATTAAGATACAAAGTTAGTAGCTTTCTTATACAGAAACTATGAAAAAAGTCATAATGGTAATGAAAAATTTCATTACAATAAAAGATTAAATACTTAGGGAAAACAATGAAAACCTGTTATAAGGAAAATTTGTGTAAGAAAAAATTTTGAACATTCCTGACAAACACCAACTAGGCAAACAAATGGAAAGACATTCCCTGTTCCTGGATAAGACAACTTAACATTATCAAGAT